CAATTATGGTCACTCTAAAACACATTACCGACCGATAGCCTATCAAACGACTGTTTTATCGACGTTTACCGACCGATAGCCGATTAATCAACTGTTTTATCGACGTTTACGACGTTTTATCGACGTAAAGTGTTAAAAAACTAAATAATATTAGGAAATTGGCTGCGATTCGCTTTAGATAGATCATCGTAAATACAGAGCTTCTTCTCTAGATTATGTTGAGAAGATATAAAAGATATAACGAGGATGTATGAATAATATGTTGATTTAATAAGGAAAAGTAATTCGAATAGAGAACACGTGTGTGTTTTAGCAACCTATGAAGATAAATATCAAAACTGGAGTTGGTACCCCTTATGACCTAACTTCATATGTTAAGAAACCTATGAATACAACAGATTAGTTTTGATTCTCATCGAGTCATCAAAAAATAGCTAACAAAAGTTTGTAATTGAAGACAATGTGGGTCAGTGAATCATAGTTTATGCAAATTTCGTCCACTATAGTCCACTGTATAGATATTTTTGTGAATTGAACGAGTTTTCTCGAAGTTAGGCGACTTTTACAGTGGACTTAGCTGGAATAAAAGAGAATCGAGTCTTCGTGTTTGGTTTCACCTGCGTAATTCGCCGCCATTTTCCTTAGCCCCTCTCGTAAACTGTAATGGCACAGTATTTCGCCACGGTGCACCTGAAGGGAACGCCGTTGCACCTCCAGCACCTGTTCCCCGACACCTGACGTCAAGGTTCGCTTCTCCGCAGGGGTCCCAACACAAAGGAAGAACGTCCCCGCGAAAATATCGACGATCAAACACCATGATGCGACACATTTTCCAAAGTAGGGGGCCACCATCTTTGACGGAAAACTACCTTGCAAATTAAATGGCGGAGGGGCACGTCGATGAACATTTTTCAAACTTACAGTTTACCGCCTTTTTTTTTAAATTTAAGTTTGATCTACCTTACTATTATTCAGTAAGAAAGTTTAATCATACATACTCATAGTAGTTTCAACGGAGAGTTATGATACATTGTTATTTTGGGTAAGAATTAATTTAAAAAGAATTCAAATACATTTTGAAGCTCCATTTTGTACTGCGGTGAAAAAAAATGTTTCATTCATTTTCATTAGAAGCTGCAATCGATAGAAATGTTTCCACGTTTCTCGTTAAATGAATATTGCAGGTTAACTATGAGTAATTGATTACGTTAGAATAGTTCTTCTATAACTACTGTACGGAAAAGAATTCATCCGCGTAGATGCTCGAGTAGGAGAAACAAGCTGCCATTCCCACGGCAGGATGCTGCGACCACTTTCGCTATTATTCAACATTATCCAACGTATTGCGAAACGCATAATAGGCTCGTGTCGGTGAGATATTTTCCATGGAGTCTTTTTCAATCGTTCGATGCACACCTTTTACTTCGTCTGTGCATTTCATTTAGTAACAGAGACCTCCTGGTCAACGCGAATAAGTTATACCGTTGATAAATTATAAACTGCATTTTTATACAATTTTTTATTTAGGAAATTTAACGCTTAGATCGTCTCACAAAGTGTTTAGAACGAAGTTCGATCCTCGAAACAAACACTTTCTTCTTTACATATCGATTCAGTATTATTTAAGTACAATTCTCAATAAAAATTATAATTCTATTTGGATTAGAACATTTTAAAGTTGTGAATTTTCTTAATAATCTCTGTTTCTCAACTTTTTCTTAAACGCAATCATAAAAATTTTTATTGAAAATTCTGATTGTATTTGTGCAAAAGTTCACGAACATTATCAAGAATTCGTAACTTTGAAATTTTTTAATTCAAATAGAATTATAATTTTTTTTCGAAGGAATAAATCCTATTTATATATATAAATCCTAACCTATAAAGAGAATAGCACAGATTCGCTTATAGCGAATAAGATTCGCTTATAGCGAATAAGATTCGCTTATAACGAATAAGATTCGCTTATAGCGAATAACTATGAATTTATCGATGCATTTTGGTCCATAAGCGACTGATCATTATAATCAATAGAATTCATACTAAAATTTGACTTTAAAGATTTTACTTGTACAGATTCGTTTTTTGAATACATTTTTAATCGAATCAAATTCACGCTTCTTTATTGTAAATTCTGATAGCGCTATTGGTCGATAAAAACTCGTAAATGTTTCGATAGAATTGATTTGTATCAGAGTGGTGAGACAGGAGAGGATTGAATCCCGTTTTGTATCTCGCAGAATGAAATTTTTCGATCATTGTCGACAGATTACAACACCCCTCGCGTGTAATGTTAATGATTTCGAGGAGGAAGTGCCTATCCCGCAGATTACAGTGTTGCCTGTAGATACTTATGTATGTCGAAAAAAATTTGCATCGAATGGCTGACCGGGCGTACCAATAACATCTATCGTCCAACAATCTCTTTCAATCTTCCTACACTATTTTCTCCGTCGTCGTTATAAATTATAGAACGCTATCTAAATAGTATCGTGCACAAGCATAAAATTGTCCACTATGCTCCTTTAACCGCAACAAACGTTGTTGAAAATTATAGTATTGCACGCCATTGTTCGAACAATTTAGCAATTTCGACTAGTTAATACATAATCGATAAGAAATGCAAATATAATGAAGAGTGATTTCAAAAACACTTTTGCTAACAAAATTTTTTAGATCTAAGCTACATACAGGGCGTTTCTCATTTTTCCATACACAGAAATAATATTGTATAACTGTGTAACAAAAAATCCATCAATGCTTCGTTAAAAATAACAAAAAATAATATTGTATAATTATGTAACAAAAGATCCATAAATGCTTCGTTAAAAATAACAAAAATAATATTGTATAATTGTGTAACAAAGAATCCATGAATGCTTCGTTAAAAAGTTGTAACAAAAATAATATTATATAATTATGTAACAAAAGATCCATAAATGCTTCGTTAAAAAGTTGTAACAGAAATAATATTATACATATAATTATACAACAAAAAATCCGTAATTTATTTAGAATTTATTTAGAATTTATTTAGAAGATTTGATCAGAAGGTTATCACCCTGGAGGATTATTTTAATCTTCAAATTTTTATTTGAAAACCATAGAAAATTTATTTAGAATTTATTTAGAATTTATTTAGAATTCATTTAGTATTTATTTGGTATTTATTTAGAATTTATTTAGAATTCATTTAGAATTTATTTAGAATTTATTTAGAATTCATTTAGTATTTATTTAGAATTTATTTAGAAGATTTGATCAGAAGGTTATCACTCTGGAGGATTATTTTAATCTTCAAATTTTTATTTGAAAACCATAGAAAATTTATTTAGAATTTATTTAGAATTTATTTAGAATTTATTTAGAATTCATTTAGTATTTATTTGGTATTTATTTAGAATTTATTTAGAATTCATTTAGAATTTATTTAGAATTTATTTAGAATTCATTTAGTATTTATTTAGAATTTATTTAGAAGATTTGATCAGAAGGTTATCACTCTGGAGGATTATTTTAATCTTCAAATTTTTATTAGAAAACCATAGAAAATTTATTTAGAATTTATTTAGAATTTATTTAGAATTTATTTAGAATTCATTTAGTATTTATTTGGTATTTATTTAGAATTTATTTAGAATTCATTTAGAATTTATTTAGAATTTATTTAGAATTTATTTAGAATTCATTTAGTATTTATTTAGAATTTATTTAGAAGATTTGATCAGAAGGTTATCACTCTGAAGGATTATTTTAATCTTCAAATTTGTATTAGAAAACCATAGAAAATTTATTTAGAATTTATTTAGAATTTATTTAGAATTTATTTAGAATTCATTTAGTATTTATTTGGTATTTATTTAGAATTTATTTAGAATTCATTTAGAATTTATTTAGAATTTATTTAGAATTTATTTAGTATTTATTTAGAATTTATTTAGAAGATTTGATCAGAAGGTTATCACTCTGGAGGATTATTTTAATCTTCAAATTTTTAGTAGAAAACCATAGAAAATTTATTTAGAATTTATTTAGAATTTATTTAGAATTTATTTAGAATTTATTTAGAATTCATTTAGAATTTATTTAGAATTCATTTAGAATTCATTTAGTATTTATTTAGAATTTATTTAGAATTTATTTAGTATTTATTTAGAATTTATTTAGAAGATTTGATCAGAAGGTTATCACTCTGGAGGATTATTTTAATCTTCAAATTTTTATTAGAAAACCATAGAAAATTTATTTAGAATTTATTTAGAATTTATTTAGAATTTATTTAGAATTCATTTAGTATTTATTTGGTATTTATTTAGAATTCATTTAGAATTCATTTAGTATTTATTTAGAATTTATTTAGAATTTATTTAGTATTTATTTAGAATTTATTTAGAAGATTTGATCAGAAGGTTATCACTCTGGAGGATTATTTTAATCTTCAAATTTTTATTAGAAAACCATAGAAAATTTATTTAGAATTTATTTAGAATTTATTTAGAATTTATTTAGAATTCATTTAGAATTCATTTAGAATTTATTTAGAATTTATTTAGTATTTATTTAGAATTCATTTAGAATTTATTTAGAATTTATTTAGAATTTATTTAGAAGGTTATCACTCTGGAGGATTATTTTAATCTTCAAATTTTTATTAGGTTACTCAGACATTGGCTTTTCATTTTTCGTTAAAAAGTTGTCAATTGTAAATATTATATCTGGTTCAGTCTACTTAATGAGAATGCAGAACTTTAATTATCCGTAGAATTAACGACTACGATAGGGCGATCCTGTACCCCCGATACGTCGCATAATTCAGCTTAAAGGCCTCCAATGTTCTAATCTACACCTGGCGTACGATCTAACTCGTCGAGTTTATAGAGCAAACGGTGCAACACCGATAGAAGACCACCCACCGGACCCACCCAGCTGGGTTTCTCCCTTTCTTCGTGCTGAAAACTCATCGAACGTCTGCTCAGGGCCCTAGATATCCGACTTCCGTCATGCTATTACAGCAAGAGCTCCTCCTTGCCCCCGCGAAGAAACTGGACATTAAATTTTCACGGTTCGGTGCCATCGAACACGAGTCCTCAGGAGGAACTACCGCAACGACGTTTGTATCCGGGGGAGGGCCCAAGACAACGCATATGGCACTAAACTGGTCTACGGAGGTCCCAATTAGGCGAACTACACAGGTATCCTAATACTGGCACACTGTACTTACCCTTCGGACCTGGTCACTTCTCAAACAACACCATTTGATATGTTATTTCAAGTCTTTGTTCATTTTATTACTATTTTTTTACTATTATTTTGCAATTCTTTGAAATAATTATTGAAATTTGCTTTAATATTTGCATCGATGCATTGTTTTCACAATCTTAGTTCATTTTATAACTATTTTTATCCCCACAATCGCTTCCAAAATAACATTATTTGAAATAATATGTTACTTTATTTTGTAAATATTTCAAATAATTATGAAATTGGCTTTAATATTTGGATCGATGCATTGTCATCATACATCAATATTATTTCAAATTTTAGTTCATTTTATAACTATTTTTATGCCTACAATTACGAAATAACATCATTTGAAATAGTATGTTATTTTATTTTGTAATTATTTGAGATAATTATGAAATTTGCTTTAATATTTGCATCGATGCATTGTTTTCACAATCTTAGTTCATTTTATAACTATTTTTATCCCCACAATCGCTTCCAAAATAACATTATTTGAAATAATATGTTATTTTATTTTTTAAATATTTCAAATAATTATGAAAATGGTTTTAATATTTGGATCTTCAGCTATGAAGCTCATTTTTCATTGATTGGACACGTCAATAAGCAAAATGGTCGCTTATAGGAAGTACGCCATGTTCGTTTCTTGTCATTTCCGTTTATTTCTAACCTACAATGATAGACAAGCTTAACAATGGCGTCGCATACGATTAAAGAGCGTGTTAAAGTAATTAAAACTCATTTTAAAAATTAGTGCTCGACACAAAATACTCATCGTTGATTACTTGAATTTTTCAGCGTAAATAATCACTGATCCGAGCGAACAATTCGATATTTGGTTAAGAAACTTTATAAAACCGAATCTATTCGTACAGAAAACATTGCTGTTGTTAAATAGAACGTATCGAAATGAATTTATAATTCAAAAATCGACTATTTATCATTATTTTTATTCCAAACAAAGTACTTACCTGTCTAAGAATTAGTTTACCTTTTAGAAATTCGAAAATTAGTACCGTTTAGTCGACGTAAAGTAATAAATTCTGGCTAGAGGTTTCTGAAATTCGGCTCGTAGAAGTAAAATAAATCATACCGGGGGAAATATAACGGAACACGGGGGCCCATTAGCGCTCAGGAAGACAAGGACAAACCTCTCGATGACTTCGAAAAGGCGCCCCAGGCGTCGCTACGCCGAGACGTCGTCGATAAGGATTCCCTCGACCGTAAAACGAATTGGTTATATTTAACATTGTTAAGAATGAATGGAAAGTTCGTTGAAACACGCCGGAAGGGTTGCAGTTGGTATTCTGCATAAAGATATTCGTTGCTTTAATGCGATCTCGCAGTTCTGAATTCTTGAGAACGTTGCAACGGCTTTGCAAGCATTTCAGGAAGCGTCGTGGAACTAATTCTGCGACATTCGTTAATTCACACAACCCTATCGATAATACGAAACGGAAACATGGTTATTATATAAGTCTTGATAGGGAGATTCGGTGGTGCAGCGAGTAAGGTACTCGGCTGTGAATAAGCTGGTAAATTTTTTACGCTGGTTCGCGCCCCGTTCAAAACATATAAGTTTTAATAATTTGTTATTTACGAATTTCAAGAAAATTTATCGTAAGAACGCGTGTCAGATAAGATTCCTTGAATTAATAGTCGGCTTAAACATTTCAAATTAATCTTCGTAGATATTAAATCTTGTTTCATTCTATTAAAATGTCTTGTATATTTATTTTATTTTCCATTTCATACATACGTTTCTATATTCATGGTTCTGCCGTAAAGTGGTCGATATATTTTCTGAAGAGCATAACAATCTAATGTTACGTAGCCTTGTATACATTTATTGGAATTATTCTTTTTATAATAGGATATTATAATAATAAAAAAGTTGCTTGTGTTTCTGTCATTAATGATTTAAGTTGCTTAGAGAGCTAATAGCAAATAAAAACACGATGGAGGATATGCGGCCTCTTCCCACGTTTTACCTGTGTCACCTGTCCAGTTTTTTAGTTCGAACGATTTTTGGGTGGGAAGCGTTTTATCTGATCCTGGACACAATGATTAACGTAGTATCATTTCGTAGGCGGGAATTTTGAACTATTCTCGAACGATTTTCTGTACTGGTACTGTGATTCAATGCTACGAATCGATTATGATGAAATAATCGATATTATACGTGGGTTTTCTTAAAGTATAGCAGTTTTCCATTAGTTTCCCGAGCCGTTAGAAGAAACTGTTTATTTAAACGTGGATATTTAAACCGAACGCGTTTCGAACCGGTGAGAGTAATTATTTTTAAGCAACCTGTTCGTTCACACGCCGTTGCAGCTTGTCGCGGAACTATTTCCGGTTGAGGACACCCATCGCCATAATTAATTTCCGTTTTTCATGCATCCGAAGCGCATGTACTTGGGTTTAAAGGTGCGTAACAAGAGGCGACAGTTGGATCATTCTTTCACACCTGTCCTCAGCTGCTTCTTTTTGCTAGACACCTTTCACTCTTAACTCGATTAATATTATTTTCTGAAATATTCTGCGATATTAATTACACTTTGTTTAAAATACTTTTCGATCGGATACAATCTTCAAATAAAAAATAAACCTGGTAATAACCAACTCGACTCTTTATTTATACGACATTTTTATTTAGACAATTTACACATTAAATTTATTTTTTGGACATCGAAAATTTAATTTCCAAGCACGATTTGTAAATGAAACTGTCTTTAAACCTACATTGCTTTTATTACAAAGTAAAATTACAGTATTCCTTTGGGTTTCGCCCATCGTCGTTCGAAGGGGATTCCCAAAATGTCCGTGACGGGATAATCCGGGACTTCTTCCAACAAATGTCTCGTATTTCGAGCCAGGTACCCGAGATTTCCCCCAATCAGAGAATTCTAGCCTGATATTTACGAGAACTTTCGCCATCGAGCGTTCAATGCCAGTCAAAATGGTGGGCGCGTGTCCTTCGAACCCTCGAAAATCTCTTCCGCCTCTATGACAACACGAAATCCACCAAAGATAAAGGTTGAAGATAAAGCTTCACGCCTCTGTAGACGGTTGAATAAATTAGAATAAGTTTCGTAATCGACGACATTGCATAGAATATCCCAGTAGCCGGTACAGTAAATTTCCAAGCGTAATATCTTGAAAACTAATGAAAATCGGGTAAATAAATTGCAGGTTAATGTGGATTCCAAACTTTGAGCTTTGACGTAACACTTACTTGTCTAAAATTTGGATGAATTATTAGCATTATTATATTTAAAATTTCAGAAATCTCTTGACCCGACGAATTTTCATTGTTTTTTATTAAAATTACAAATTTTATTTGGATGAATTATTAGTGTTATTATATTTAAAATTTCAGAAATCCTTTGACCTGACGAATTATCATTGTTTTCTATTAAATTACAAATTTCATCCTCGTCAATGTGGATTCCAAACTTTGAGCTTTGACGTAACACTTACTTGTCTAAAATTTGGATGAATTATTAGCATTTTTATATTTAAAATTTCAGAAATCTCTTGACCTGACGAATTATCATTGTTTTTTATTAAAATTACAAATTTTATTTGGATGAATTATTAGTGTTATTATATTTAAAATTTCAGAAATCCTTTGACCTGACGAATTATCATTGTTTTCTATTAAATTACAAATTTTATCCTCGTCAATGTGGATTCCAAACTTTGAGCTTTGAAGTAACACTTACTTGTCTAAAATTTGGATGAATTATTAGCATTATTATATTTAAAATTTCAGAAATCTCTTGACCTGACGAATTTTCATTGTCATTAATTTGTTTAAAGTTGCATCAACTGCTAAAGGTTATTAGCGACTCTTAGAATAAATTGTTAGAGGTTGTTGTACAATTTAGTCATTTTGAGGAACTGTAGTAGTTGTTTTTTATTAAATTACAAATTTTATCCTCGTCAATGTTGGAATATCGAAATTATGAGACCAAATTTTGAATTGAAACGCTGCTTTTCGAAAATGTCAACGCAGAAGGTGGATTTTAGATCGAAAATGAGAAGAAAAGGTGATGTTGCTTAGAATAGACGAAGTGGATGATATTTCGAGGAACGCAACAAGCTTGATTCAACCTGATTCCGTGGCAGCTTTCAACGGAGCCTATTGCCCGCGTCTGACTTCTAAAAGAAGACGGAATAAACGTAAGAAGAAGCAGAAGGGAACAGGTTCTAGATTCATTCACATCTCGCGGAGGCCTTGGGCCCGACAAAAACCATTCTATGCAGTTCCTATAGACTTATCCTTGTATTCTACCGGTATCCCCGAGCTACGAACTCCCGTCGTAAACGTCCAACGAGACAAACTAATAAATGTTGCAACGAAAATGAAAAACTCAATGCTCGTCTCGCTACCATTTCGATCTCGATCGTGTTGCAATTAGAATTATGTAAATCTGCTTGTTGAAACGCTTTCAAAATGTCCAATCTTAATAAAAAAACATAATAATTGACAGTAAACCAGCCATAATACTAAAAACATCAATTCGAAACTAATGGAAGAATGTTTAGAACAATATTCGATTTATTAAAAAAATTAAAAAATTAGTCTCAGTGTTAGTTTAGAGTCTTGAAATTATAGTAAATGAGAGTAATTTAAGTTGAAAATATTGTCAGTAGATTTAAATTTAATAGAAAACAATGATAATTCGTCAGGTCAAAGGATTTCTGAAATTTTAAATATAATAATGCTAATAATTCATCCAAATTTGAAACAAATAGGTATTACATCAAAGTTCGAATTTTAGTATCCAAACTAGTCTATGGAACAAAATTTTCTTGATCCTGCTTGAACCTAATTGCACGAATAAACAATTTAAAAATGTCAACGTTTTATATATATTCAAAATATTGCTTCAAGTCGTAGTAAAAGACTTGTCATAAACGTGAAAGAAATCACCAAATAAGA